GAGAGGGAGTGAAAGGGGGGAGAGAGGGAGAGAAAGGGGGGAGAGAGGGAGGAAGAAAGGGAGAGAGGAGAGAGAGGGAGAGGGAGGGAGGGAGAGGAATAGATAGAAGAAACAAAATACATAATAATAATTACACTACTAGTATCAAAGTTCTCATATAGCATATTCATGATAAATGACACTCTACACATTCACGTACTACAACTTAATTCCCAGACTAATGAACGCTAAGAATACTATAATTACTACAAAGAGACTAGTAAACTAGAGACTACGTGCATACATCGCCAGTAGGAGAGTGGGCAGGACGATTGGGGAAAAAGCAAAAAGAGTGGGAGAGAATTAAGGAAATTAACGAAAGAGGGAGAGAACAGTACAGGAGGCAATTTACATGTACATGTACATGTAATGTTCAAAGAGAGAATGACATACATGTACTATATAAACTATGGTTTGAGGTACATGTATATATACATGTATGTATCAGTAACGTAAAGCCTGAGCTCCGAGTTGTCTGCCCTTGGCTTTGCCTCGGGCAGACATCTTGGGATAACTACTCACCTCAAAACTATGGTTTATGTAACATGTTATTTGAACATGGTGTACTGTAACTATACACATGTATATTCCATGCACATACATGTACATGTATATACTTTTGAGGTCCAGAAAGAATGACAATAAAAGAAAGTGAAAAAGAAAGTGTAGGGATTAACCATGAAGTAGTGGGACAAATTAAAAGAAGGGATAGCGAATAATATATATTATAATATATATACACGACCAGTCCATAACCAAGATAAGGGACAAGAGAGATAAGGCGTATACTTGTACAGTCATTATATAATCATGTTGACATGTTGTTCAGGTTTGTTCAAATGCATATAAGATGATTTGAGGGCTATACTTCGGAGCCATACTACAGGACCGTATGGGGATTCAATATAGGATACACATGTACCAGTACAAAGGCAACAGCTGCAAGAAATGGGTATTAATCATTACGATGCTAATTGAAGGCATTCTGTCTTTGTGTTCCTCTCTCTCTCTCCTTCCCTCTCTCTCTCTCTCTCTCTCTCTCCCTCTCCCTCTCCCTCTCTCTCTCTCTCTCTCTCTCTCTCTCTCCCTCTCCCCCTCCCCATTGACCAGCTGTGTTCTACATGTAGCTCTCTATTCTCAATCAATCATAAGGACAGCCCACAGCTATATACTGACAAAGGGCTTAGCTTCACCATAGCCAGCCTCTACTCCCAAGCACAAAAACCAGGCCACTCCCAGTCTTTCAATACTCACTACACAGTTTTGACTAAATAGCTAAGACCAGTATTCATCGAATATTAATGATAACTCACATCTCTGTTGCTAGAGGAGGCTTTCTTGTCCCGTTTGGAGGATGAGGACTCTCTATGCTGCTTAGATCTAGGGAAGAAGAGGAGGAGAGAAAATGGAGGAAGCGAAAGGAGAATAAGAGCATTGTAAGAAGAAGGTGAAAGGAGAGAAGGAAAGAGGAAGAGATAGGGTTTAGTAAAAATATGACACAATATGATATTACAGAGTATAGCTAATTGTGATTAGCTTGTTTGTATACAACAAATAAAGAGTAATCATGACACTTACTGATTCACTAATTATTGGTACAACAAAAAAATCTTTTACCAAAAATAATGAGATACATGTACATGTATGTGCATGCATGCATGTGCATATAAACCATACAGTTATACGTGTACATGTACTTATATGTACATGAAGGTTTGTGTGCAAATACAATCAGATCAATGTACACGTACATGTACATGTACACAGTAAACATGCAGGTTCTTTGTAAAAAAATGAGGCTTATGGTGTCTTTCAACTTCATGCTATGACCTCAAAACTCTCTCTTAAAATCGTTTTACTTCCTTAATGAGCAAAATCATTCCTTAATAGTGACAATTCCACCAACCAAACAGGAAGCTTCATCGACAAATCATCGTACAAAATTACAAATACCAACGTGAATGGCTTCAAGAGGATACAAATGTACATGTACATGTACTTGTAAAATTGATAAAAAGATAATGTAATATCATACATGCATTAAATGTAATTGTATTACAATTATAAAAATGCATTTTGGATCAAATCGCTCATACCGCCGTAGGCCAACTTTTCGTTTCTATTATTACATACAGCAAATGGCAAACACATGTACATGTACATGTACAGTACATGTATTGATAATAAGATAATACTCATGTATAGTTATTAGCCATAAATAGAAAGTTTTGGACTTGAATGTATTACCAGCTGTTAATTAATAAGGAGGCCAAGTTTCAATTTTATTATAACAAGAGTGAATGAATCCTACATATACTACAGCAACAAAACTGTACTTCATCCATAGTATAGGTACAGACTTTCTTCATTTGCTTCATTTACACGCTGCACATGTACATGTACATGTAGATGTGTGTACAGTAGACATTACATGTTTATTAGACGATAGAGTTTCCCCTAGCATTTGGTATAGACGGAGTATAAGGATCGCAATGTAATAATGTAATAATTTCATTTGTTGTAACCACAACACACACACATAAAGAAATGAATAACAACAGGACACAAAAGTAGAGGGAGAGGGAGAGAGAGAGGGGGGAGGGAGAAAGAGAGGGAGGAGGGAGAGGGAGGGAGGGAGGGGAGAGGGAGGGAGAGGGGAGAGGGAGGGAGGGAGGGGAGAGGGAGGGAGAGGAGAGGGAGTATAGAACAAGAAAGTACAAAGGGAAGAGATAAAAGACAGACAGAAAGACATTAGAAGGTGATAGACAGAAAGACATTAGAAGGTGATAAACAGAGAGACAGGCAGGTGGGACCAAAATGAAAGGTTTAGAAGAAGGAGGACCCCATTACCCAACCACACACACATGCATCAAATAACACACAAAGATTATATAGCCATAATGTTTAACAATTAAACAACTCGCAACACAAATCCAACACAGACCAATGATTTCTGACATATTTTCTCACAAGACAATCTACAACGAGTTGTTGTTTGTGTGTGTGTGTGTGTGATTGTGTATGCTGAGACTGCAGTGTTGGCAAATAATGAAAAGGAAAAGAGCAGCTGCTTTAAAAATAGCAGAGAGAGAGAGAGAGTAAAGTGAGCACAATTCAGGGTACGTACTGTAAAAACTGAACTGAACCCTTAAGACAATAACTGACAGTTTGGTTACATTGCAAGAGTAAACACGGAGAAAGAACATGTGTACATGTAAGCATGTAAGCCATTAGAAAAAGGGAAAGAGAGAGAGAGAAAGAGCTAGTGAACTCTATCTATCTCTCTCTCTCTCTCTCTCTCTCTCACACACACACACACACAGACACAAGCGGGCGCACAAAACCAATGTTTATTCAATATAATGACTATGTGAATGTTTTGCCTAAAAAGACAACCCACAGTTTATCAAGAGATCAACTCTAACCACTAGAATCAACATGCAGTTTCAGGATATGCAGAAATACGGCCACACACATAATAAAGCAACCCAATGCAATACAGTACAGAAATTGCATATGTGTAAATGTACATTTTATACATGTACAGTACTGGTTTTATAGTATACTGTACACTGTATTACACCACACACTATTGTAATACTAATAGTAGGAAAAATACATGCATAAGAACACTGTAAAGTCTACTATGTGTAATTCTTACTGCCATGAGTTAATGTTAAAAGTAGATGTACAATGTACATGTACATGGATGTACTCTCATACACTTTTTCTTAATTGTTGGCTTGCAAATCCTTCGGTAAAGAGTGTTAGTTTTATAGTGAGTTACAGTGATCAATAGAGGACATTAAAATCAAGTGCATTATGTCTATAGAGAACTACATGTCTCTGTACATGGACACCATGATGTAAAAATAAATGGAATAAATGATGACAAAGTCTTGTTAACAAATGTGCTTGTACAGGTACATGTAATAATGGTCTGTTTATTTTATTTATTTCCCTTCTCTTCTCTCTATAGTGCAGCTCTCCTCACACTCCATCAGTCATATTCTGAGTACAGTTATGATAATAACTTACATAGAAAAATGACATCATCTTACAGCAAGTGTTCCTTTTAAATCCCTCTTACTCAAAATTTACTATAGTTTAAGGGACTCCCTCTCCCTCCCTCTCACACCTTCTCTCTTAAGTAAACAGTTAATATAGAGACAGCTATAGCTCTCTGTACAGTCACTAATAAGCACTTGCTAATGTGCCATACCACCATGAATGAAGAGTAAATTGATAGATAAGACAAACAACTCCAGGTTGCATGGCAACAGATAGAGAGCAAAACAGGCACTATGGTAATAATGCATTAGAGCAAAACATAATATTTGGAGGAGATGGCACTGAAAGATACTTTCAAGGGGAAGTTGTACAGGGCTATGTAATTACTTCTGATGTCATGTACTTGTCAGTGACAAGCACCCAATGGCAGCAGCTGTGTATGACTAAGATCTGAAATAACAACATTCACTACATACATGTATACAGGCACAGTATGAGGTCCATGCACATACATGTATTAGAGGGTTGTATAAATAAGGGTGGATTGGGTATTGCATGGTGGGAGAGATGAATCTCTTTCTGGAGGGAAATGGAACTGATTAAGTAATCCGATACACAAAGAAAGCAGAAGGAAAGAAGGATATTGAATAGAAAGGAAGAGGGAGAAGCTATAAAGAGAGAGAGAGGGGGGTGTATGTGTAAAAGAAATTGAGGGTGCATGGTCAATTAGGCACAGGTGTATATACTGTTCAGTCCTCCCCAACAATACACCAGCTGCAATAAAACACATTAACACTTGACGCATTCTCCATAGGCGCATGCACAACAACTACAACTTGATATCAGAGTATGACTATGGAGTATATACACATGCATGCATATGTATAATAAGTCACTAGGCATACCAATGGCTATGCAGCAATGACTTTGGTCAAGCATGGAGTTAAGACAAAGTGGGGTATGCACGCATGCTGGAATATGTACTACGCCTACGCCGACAATTTTAAAATAATTTACTGCTTTACACGTTTAAGAATTCCTCATTGAAAACATTATATACTTTTTGCCATAATGAAATAATGTTGACACATGTTTATCAGTAGGGCCTGTTTGCAAATATAAACAAAACTACAAAACATTAAGAGAGAGGGAGGGAGGGAGGGAGGAAGCATTAACATGAGATAAAAGGAGAGGGCATTTTACCCCAAATACCATTTTATTCCAAATACATGTACATGTACATAAAGTCATTACATAGTTACATGTAGATACATGCATTTACATACAAGTACATGTAAATGAACAGATGTACTTGCAGAAAGCAACAATGAAAATGACAATTGAAAGAGAGAGAGAGAAATAGAGACATGATGTAGAGAATAAAGATATAAATTGAGAGTAAAAACAAAATGAAAGTGGTCAAAGGATGAGGGGAAATAGCAAAGACATGAAAGAAAGGATAAACATCAAAGACTATATACTACATACACAGATGCACCATCATATTAACAACCCAACATGCAGTGATGGGGCAAAAGTACACCATAACTTGAATATCAAGAGCTAATTTCAAATATAAATCTTGAATGAAGACCTTTATTTATGGTTACTCGAAGCGCTATTGCACATTAGCGAAGGATGCAGTAAAAGATATCCGCTCAAACTCACCTCTTACTGCTCTCCATATCTCCAATGGAGCTTTCTCCAGTGGTGGGCTCCTGCCGCTTGAGCGAGTGTGATAAAGGAGGAGGAGGAGGGAGAGAATGAGAGTAGAGAACAAGTATTCTGTTCCGCTGGTCTGCTGCTGGTTGTGGTACTGCTACGAGTTAGCATGGAACGGGACGGCTCTGACTTCTCTTGGTAGACGAGGAGAAAAAGGAAAAAGAGAAGGAAAGAGAGAGAGTAGAAAGGAGTAGAAGATTGAAAGAATAGAGTGAAGAATACAGAATGGGGAAGCTCCTGTCAATCACTCAGCAAATTAATTAACCACACCCACACGATGGGTTAGCAGGCGTGGTCGTTTTAACTTTGACCACACCCTTGTCACCTTTTTTTGCAAAGAATGAAGGTAACAAAACAAAATTTACATGTATATATTTTCGTTGTATCTTTTCCACCTTTTTGCCTATTCAGTTTTGTGTAGCAGCACCACTAGAAGCTACCAAGAAAGGGATATTCATTCTCAGTACAGCTTTGATAGTGTTTGTGGCAATCAGCAACTCACTACAATGGTAAAATGGCATATATTATTAGTACTAGATTTTAACTGGTCTTATAGGCACATGGAAGAGTTTTGGGGTGCATCTAAAGCTTTCTTTGTCGAGAAATGGGCGTATATTTATTACAATTTCGGTTATGAGAATTTTTTCGTTATGTACATCCTGGGTAAGTTGAATTCTCCTCTCTTTCTTTTTATCGATTTTTAATCCACATTTAGGGACATCTATATACGGCCTTGTCGTTTATACTTTTATTAATATGTTATTTGGTTTTGTCGATGTCACTGGAAGGCCTCAAATATTCAAGAAATACAAGATTCAAGATACCAAGAATTTTCCTGTAAGAACGAAAATTGGTATAATTTTGAATGTGATACCCACAGTCCTTAGCCATATTTTAAAATCTACCATTCTTTATATCCATTTTTGCATCAATTATTATCAGTTTTGCATCATAGTTTTTCTCTATTTTTATCTCTTTCTCCAGGTTGATCCTGCTAAATACAAGAAATGTCTCCAAGTTGTGACTTTTAATTCTCTCCTCATCGGTCCTCTCTTCCTTGTAGTATCCTCCCCCATTGCTTACTGGCGGGGACTCAATTGTGGCTACCAGCTGCCAACATTCCCTCAAGTTATCTGCCAGCTGATAGTATTCACTGTATCTGTTGAAACGGGATTCTATTACATGCACAGGTTCTTAATACCATATAGTGTTTTTTTTTGAGGATTTTTAAAGATTTGCGAAATTAAATCCCATGAAAATTAATTTAATACGGTACAAGATGGCAGAATAGTGGAAATTTGCAAAATTAATTTCGTTAACCTCCGGATACAGGTTATTTGCAAAAAATTATTATCCTCGAAAAAAACATGATATACCACTTTTACTTGGTGATTTACAACTTTTACCTTCTCTCTCTCTCCCATCTCTTTCTTTTTTTCTAGATTATTTCATCACCGGTCTCTTTATTCTCGTATACACAAAATCCATCACGAGTGGACAGCTCCTATCAGCCTAGCCTCCGTCTATTGTCACCCAATTGAGCACTTTTGCTGTAATATTTTCCCGATAATGCTCGGTCCTATAATCTTGGGTACCTGGTTTAGCAACCATCTTTCAGCAGTTTGGTTGTGGGTGGCGATTGCTATCGTCAATACCACGTTTTCTCATTGCGGCTATCACCTGCCTTTCTTGTCATCGCCCGAGGGACATGACTTCCATCACAGCAAGTAAGTTTGCATGGTTTATATACCTTAAGCCTACTATTATTTGTGTCTACTAATTTTAGCGAAATCAGCAAAAGTCATGTTTAGCGTTACTAATTTTAGCGTTTTTAACCAAATTAACTATAAATAATAACCATTGTAATGAATAATAATTATTTTGGCGTCTATTTAATTTAGTGGTTTAAAGCTCTCTCGCTAATATAGCTAAATTTAGTAGACGCTAAAAATAGTAGGCTTAGGGCATGTAGGAAATTGAATGTACTAAATGAGAATTTAGTAGCGATTCTGGTCAAATGTTAGGAATTCAAAATTTACTGTTTATTATTTGAAGATATGCACAAAAAATGTTTTACCGTATAGCGGGTATATTTCGTCTGGGAAAATGTTCGTTCTAAGCAGGATTAGAAATTTTTGTTCATTTTATTTTCGTTCTGAGCAGCCATTTTGCACACGTGGCATTGAGGAAACGCCCTTTTCGTTTGGAAAATGTTTGTTCCAAAAGGAATGAGAACGAAAAGAACGAAATTAAACTCGAACGGAATATACCCGCTATATGGTATGAGATATAAAGTGAACTGTAACAATATTTGATCCTTTAATCCACCTATAATCATCATTCTTATTCTCATAGGTTTAATCAGAACTTTGGTGTATTGGGTATACTTGACAGACTACATGGAACAGATAACGTATTTGTTAACAGCATTGAACACAAGAGGCACTTTATATTACTGGGACTCTCATCAGCTAAAGAATTAGTACCAGACGATAAGAAAATGGCAATGGATTAGAGTAGTATTTATATTTTTATTAGTCAGGTTGTCTGTGTTTATTTATAATTATTATATTGTCTGTCAGTGTGATTTTCATTTATAAGTTGTGCGTTGAAAATTTGAAATCAATCAATTTGGGGGGAGGTTTATTACTTCCCGTTTCATTAATTAAAATTTTTGGCATTATCCTTTCGGTATACTTCGAGGGTTACTTCTCTATCGTTTCAAAAATAGGGTAGTCTTCTGTATTATAAAGCCGGACAACTATGAAGGTGAAATTTGTTAATTTACAAGTTTTATTCATCCTTCTTCTCCATCAGTTCCGTGAGAGGATAACAGGGGCACTAGAAGCTACCAAGAAAGGGATATTCATTCTGAGTACAGCTTTGATAGTGTTTGTGGCAATCAGCAACTCACTATTATGGTAAAGAAATAGCTAGGAATATGTGTTTAGGGCATCTTCACATTGACAATTAATACAAGAATGCTGAAATATAAAATGTTATATAATAGCAGCATTCCAGTATCTATGATAGCAGCCATTGTAGATATATCTACTGATCTACATGACAGTGTTGCATGGTTACATACTACCTGATACTGATATCTATATACTTACGATGAATCATTCACATATTTGGGGTAGTACATCAATTATTAACAGTAAAGACAAATGTCAGTTTTAGATTGAGAATTGAATTTATGTAAGCAATTGAAAGTAAAAGCTATGCATGTACATGTACGTAGTACACACGTATATTTCATTTGAATCACACCTCCATTTAATGATACACATGTGGGAGTTGAGAATGATGCAATACTCATTTACCTTGTAAGATCTAAAATATTGATAGCATGCTATTAATGGTTTTGTGGTTTGTCAGAATGTTAATTAACAATTTACTAAATAACAATAATAGCTTGTTGTTGATGATGTTAGCAAATTGAAATTACGAATCACTCATTATTATTTATCATAGGCATATGGAAGAGTTTTGGGGTGCGTCTAAAGCTTTCTTTGTTGAGAAATGGGCGTATATCTATTACAATTTCGGTTATGAGAATTTTTTCATGATGTACATCCTGGGTAAGACGAGTTCTCTGTCCTAAATTATTATAACAATCAATAATATTCTAGGGACTTCTGTTGTTGGATCGATTGCTTACATTTCTACGAACCTATTTTTTGGTTTTATTGATCTCAATGCTTCACCTCAGTTTATTAAAAAGTATAAGATACAAGACACAAAGAACTTTCCAGTAAGAAAGCAAAGAGAATAAGAAATACATATATTGTATATTCATTTGCCTGTTGCTTCAATGTCTATCCTTTCTCAATAGGTTGATCCAGTTAAATATAAAAAGTGTCTCAAGCTCTCAGTATTCAATAGCTATGTTGTTGGTTTTATCTTCCTAACAGTATCCTCCCCCATTGCTTACTGGCGGGGACTCAGTTGCAGCTATCAGCTGCCAACATTCCCTCAAGTTATCTGCCAGCTGATAGTATATGCTCTATCAGTTGAGCTAGTGTTCTATTACATGCACAGGTAATCTATTATTATGGACTATATACTGTATGGAAGGAAATTTGGAGGTAGTTAAATTTGGCGAATTTGGCGTTTTGATAGCCATTTGCCAAAATAAAAATCCGCCATTTTGAGCCATTATATGCATGCTCAATGGCACATGGCCACAAATTCGCCAAATTAAAATTCGCCAATCATCAAAATTTAGCAATTCGCCAAAATTTAGTCCCTCCAAAATATCCTTTTGTGTGGTATCACTATTGGTGCTAATACTAATTTGCTTTTCTCTTTCTTCACTACCTTCCTCTCTCTCTCTTTTTTCTAGATTATTTCATCATCGGTTTCTTTATTCTCGTATACACAAGATCCATCACGAGTGGACAGCTCCTATCAGCCTAGCCTCCGTCTATTGTCATCCGATTGAGCACTTCTTTGTTAATTTATTGTCCACTCTATCCGGTCCTCTCATCCTTGGAAGCTACTTCAATAATCACGTTGGATCGGTCTGGCTGTGGGTTGTGATGGCTCTTGTTAATTCAACGTACACTCATAGTGGATACCATTTGCCTTTTGTTTCCTCTAACGAAGCACATGACTTCCATCACAGCAGGTCAGTTTATTATGTACAATATGACTAGGAATTATAGTAGAATAATGAACTTATTGTTACTCAGAGTGGAATATCATGATTTAAAATAAACAATTCTCTTCGGGCCATTTTTAATAAAATGGTTTGGAGCAACTTTTAAAATTCATTAAAAATCCAATTTTGATTGGAATCGGTTCAAACTTTCTACATAGCATAAGCACATGTATATGCATCAGAAAATGTAATAAAAGTGGAGAATTTTTTCTTTTCAATTTTGGTGAAATTTGACCCGAGACCATGTACTATAGTACAGGGACTTTAGCTCAATTTTGGATCAACTTTAAAAATTTGTAAAAAATCTAATTTTGATCAAAATCAGTTCAAACTTGCTACACAAAATAGGAACATGTATATGTATCAGGGAAAATTTTTTTAAATGGTAAATTTTCTTCTTTTTAATTTTGGCAAAATTTGACCCGAAACCGTGTGCTATAGTACAGGGACTTTGGCCTGATTTTGGAGCAACTTTAAAAATTCTTTAAAAATCTAATTTTGATCAGAATCAATTCAAACTTTTAATACGAAATAGGAACGTGTATATGTGTCAGAAAAAATTTTTAAATTGAGAATTTTCTCCTTTTCAATTTTGGCAAAATTTGGCCCGAGACCGTATACTATAGTACAGGGACTTTGGCCTGATTTTGGAACAATTTCAAAAATTTGTAAAAAATCTACAATTGATCAAAATTAGTTCAAACTTGCTACACAAAATAAGAACATGTATATGTATCAGGGAAATTTTTTAAATGGTGAATTTTCTTCTTTTCAATTTTGGCGAAATTTGGCCCGAGACCGTGTACTATATAGTACAGGGACTTTGGCCTGATTTTGGAACAACTTTATAAATTTGTAAAAACCTAACTCTACACGACACAAGTACTGTATCAGAAAAAATTATTAAAATGGAGAATTCTCTCATAGCCATTTTAAATAAAAATACTATTGGTGACTATGTATAGTATAGCTAATCGACTATATTATAGCAGGGGTTATGCCAAAATATTACATTTTACTATTACTCCTGATTATTACACTATTCTCATGCTTGATGTATGATGCTGCTGTGATAGTATAAATTAATGCATTCTTCTCATAATAGGTTTAATCAGAACTTTGGTGTATTGGGTATCCTTGACAGACTACATGGAACAGATAACGTATTTGTTAACAGCATTGAATATAAGAGGAACATCATATTAATGGGACTTTCATCGGCTAAAGAAGTAGTGCCAGACGATAAGAAGATGAAAATGACCAATTGAAAATAGATTAGAGAAGTATCATTAAAGAACTTATTAGACTGTAGTAGTAGCAGTGTTCACCTTCACAACAATTATTTCAGTCCTTTTAGTTTAATTCTTAATAGTGACAAATTAATGCATATTGCAAGTTGATCACGAAATGAGAATTTTAATTATAAAAAAGGGCTTAGTGCATAGTAGATTTTCAAAAAAATGTCGGCTCTTTTTAATTCATTCAGATCACTCCCGTCAATTTAAATTCATCATTTAGTGCTGAAGATAGTGAAGACTGACAGCTGAGGAAGAAGATGGTCTTGACTTTCTACACAACATATACATGCATAGAAAATATTATTAAAATAGAGATTTCTCAACTTTTCAATTTTAGCAAAATTGTGGAGCAACTTCAAAAATTCTTTAAAAATTCATCAATTTTCATCAAACTTTCTACACAGCATAAATACATGTATCAAAAAATTATAAAAATTGAGAATTTTCTCATAGCCATTTTTAATGAATAACCTATACTATCGTCAAGTCCAGAGATATCCATTTATATTGAAATTTGAATAATAGTAACTATAATTATTACGACCTAGGCTAGATTATCGTAGAGTGATTAAATGCCAAAATCTAATCCACTCCCGTCCATTTTCTTATGATAAACGGCGTCAAATCGTGCTGTCTGCTCTGGACTGAGATGATTCTTCCAATCTCCAATGACACCTTTACGCATATGAGAATAATCCTTCTTATATTTCTTGCCAAAACGGGAGGTGTCCAAGTTGAGGAGAGGGTTGGCCTTCATTTTATCGAAAGTGCATTCCTCAGCAATTGCATTAATAGTGGGCTCGTCAAGGTTATGACCCATAAACTGAGATATGGTCCTTATTGACTTGTGGAGGTCTTTTTTCATCTCTTCAAATCTGACAATAAGGATATTACTAGCATCTGTAATTGAAAGAGGAAAAAATAACATTACGTAGAAAATAAATGATTAGTTATTATTGTTACTGATTGCTTGTCATTATCATTATTATTAACAGTTAATTATTATAAAGCAATAAGAATTACTATCAAGTTTTAGTTAATTATAATAATCCTATTATTAATTATTATAATAAGCAATATATTCTTATTGCTTATTATAATAAAATATAGCAAAACATGTATAATTCTTTATGCGTGTTTTGCTATATTTTTTAGTTCTTTGTGTGTGAATTTTTTATTAACTTCATAATTATAGCAAACCTCTATGCTCCCACCATTGCAAAACGTGGTCAAACCACGACCCGTATAAGGGCTTCTCATTCACAAACATCTCAAAATAATCGTCAAATTTTATCTTGTGCTTCCTCTCAATAACGACATAGTAATAATGATGGGAAGAGATGAAGACATCTTTAGGATTCCTCATGACATAAATGTACTTGGCTGGCGATTTATGAGGCTCCCCGCCAGGCACCATGGGGTAAGGCATGTGAGACCCTAAAGTACGAGGGTATGGAATAGCCTGCAATGATAAGAGGTGTTATAATAAGCTGTTTCCACATACGGTAAACGCCTGTAGAAGCTCTGACAATAACTAAAGCCTGGTTTCCATATAGTCATACAACAGCCTTTTTTTACAACAAAGCTGCAACAATCATGGAGATAGAAATCAACAACAATTCCATGCTAACCACAAAATCCATACAACAGCCAGAAACCAGGCTTAATTAAGCCCAGCATACACTGAGCAACTTTGTTGCTGGCAACTTGTGGTCAGACCTTTGATGTGGTTGAGTAACACTGGGCAACATGTTGCAGAAAGTAGAGTAGAGAGACTTTCCACTTCTCATCACATCAAAGGTACTGGCGACAAAGTTGCTTCACCACAAAGTTGCATAATTTTCAATTTAAAATCTTTTAATATTCTAAAGTTATGAGTGTGCACCAATTAGTTCTACAGCCCATGTTCAATAATAGAGCTACAGTATAATGTCTCCATAGATATACAAACATGATTTCACTCACCATTCCAAACTCCTTTCCATCTTCTTCCGGCCAGGAGGCAGAATCAGCCAAATGCATCTTTGACAGTGGGACTGTGTCACCAGTGATAGAGCCAGAGAGTTCTTGGACCTTCTCTTTGATTAGTTTGACTTGACCAACGGTCCAAATTGTCCCTGATTTAGGGTAGCTGGTGACAAAGGTGTCATCAGACTGGAGAGGAAAGTCCAGCACTTTCTTGTACTTTTCTTCTCTTAGCACGTGGTTAGGAAACAGTATACCATTCACGAAGTGATCTCCATCCCACAATACGTCGCTGTTTGGGGTAGACATAAAAAAAAAACAAGCTCTAAAGGCCAAAAATAGTGGTTCCTTTGCTGTTGTAATTAAGCAACATCCGAGGCAACATCTTGCCAAGAATATTCTATTTTTGGTAACATGTTAATTATAGTGTTGTGTATGAACTTATGAGTTATGAAGGCCGGCTTGAAATAACCACAAAGTTGCATGCAACAATGTTGCCTCGTGATAGCAACTACGCCCACGCACACACAATTAATTTGTATGCATTGAGTGGTCAAACTGCACTATAAGGCAAACCACATAGTCATTATAAAGGAATATATTCACTAGACTAAGTAAAAAAATACACAATACAAGCATCTGTTATACCTAAAAACCAGTTACAGAACCATTGGTATTTTTTAATAGAGAAGGCTTCAAGCTTTAAGAAAATGCCAAAATATTTTTGTCCCATATTAAATAAATGTATATAAGAGGCATAAAAATAATTATTCTGCACAAGACAATTATGATTCAAAAACTTGAGAGAAAATGCCTATTGTGTAGAAAGGCTAGTGTCTCTAATATGATGATTTATTCTAATTTGGAGAAAAAGCAAGAGATTTCTTAGAAAAGCATCTTGAAAAAGCTCTGCCACAAAATGCAAGAAAGAGCTGCTCAAGTCTCAGCATCAGCCAGCGGTTACTTCATACACTCCTAAATGGAGAGGTGACCAACAACTACTTCATGTATATGTACCTTAACTGTAACAAGACAAGTATATAATGACTGTATAATCAGCAAACAACTTTTTGCACCAAATGACAAGATCAAGATTTGACAGCTATCAGGAATTGTCAGAGCTGATGCTGCTTCCACTGACCCTGTACTACTCTGTAAAGCTCATTAGTACGAAATATAATGAATTTCATCCATCCCTTCAATCTAAATCTTGTGATGGCTCTCCTAAACTGGGGCCAGCACATTTACTCATTTTAATTGTAAGGTTGAGATATACCCTCTAAGTAGGTATGTCTCAACTTCCTACACAAGGTAAGTACATGTATATGTATCAGAAAAAATTATTAAAATAAAGATCTTCCTACTTTTCAATTTTAGCAAAATTTGGCCCTTAACCATGTACAAGGACTTTGGCCCCATTTTGGAGCAACTTCAAAAATTCTTTAAAAATCCAATTTTCATCAAAATCATTTTAAACTTTCTACACAGCATAAATACATGCATAAAAAAATTATAAAAATTGAGAATTCTCTCATAGCCATTTTTAATAAATACCCTGTTCAATCGTCAAGTCCAGAGAGATCCATTTAGCTATATTAAAATTTAAAAAATAAATATTATAATAGTAACTATAATAATATGACCTAAGCTAGATTTAATATCGTTCATTTAGAGCAATTAAATGCCAAAATCTAATCCACTCCCGTCTATTTTTTTATGATAAACGGCGTCAAATTTTGCTGTCTGCTCAGGGCTGAGATGATTCTTCCAATCTCCAACGACACCTTTACGCATATAAGTATAATCCTTGTTATATTTTTTGCCGAAGCGGGAGGTGTCTAAGTTGAGGAGAGGGTTGGCCTTCATCCTATCAAAAGTGCATTCCTCAGCAATTGCATTAATAGTGGACTCGTCAAGGTTGTGACCCATAAACTGAGATATAGTCCTTATTGACTTGTGGAGGTCTTTTTTCATCTCTTCAAACCTGACAATGAGAATATTGCTAGCATCTGTAATTGAAAGAGGAAATAACATTACATTGAAAGTAATATTATGACTTGTTATTATTGTTAATATTTATAATATCTAAAAAGCAAGTTTATATGCATTCATGTCAGTGTTGTTTAGTTCATGATTTACATTTTAGTTTTAGTTATGGTACTTTAGAACAAAGCATATTTAGTTCCAGTTCTAGTTATAGTAAAGCCTCAGACTATTTATTTTAGTTATGATTATGTGATACCATTTTCTTTTAGCTATAGTTATAGTTAACTAATACAACACTGATTCATGTATTATCAAGCCTACAGTACTGATGTCCTACAACTAGGCCATTGGGTTTATAGGGAGAACCCGGTTCTCAGGGTTCCCAAGGGCTGAGAGACCCAAGACCTGAGATCTTGAAGCAGCATTGGGCGACTAAGAACCTGTGAAAGTCTCATCCTTATCCCACATTCCTATAAAAAGCTATTCCAATTTTTCTTGGTCCAAACTAAGTTGGGACATAGTATAGTAATGCTGTACCAATATATGATACACCAATTTATTGTTTCTTGTTATTATCGTTATTATTAACTGTTAATTATTATTATGCAACTCAAAGCAATAAAAATTTCTATCAAGTTTTAGTTAATTGTGATAAACCTATTTTTAATTATTATTAATTACTATTATAATTATTATAATAAGCAATATTCTTATTGCTTATTATAATAAAATAAATTATAGCAAAACATGTATAATTCTTTATGCATGTTTTGCTATATTTTTTAGTTCTTTGTGTGTGAATTTTTTATTAACTTCATAATTATAACAAACCTCTATGCTCCCACCATTGCAAAACGTGGTCAAACCATGACCCGTATAAGGGGTTCCCATTCACAAACATCTCAAAATAATCATCAAATTTTATCTCGTTCTTCCTCTTGATAACAACATAGAAATAATGATGGAAGGAGATGGAGACATCTTTAGGATTCCTCATGACATAAATGTACTTGGCTGGTGATTTATGAGGCTCCCCGCCAGGCACCATGTGGTAAGGCATGTGAGACCCTAAAGTACGAGGGTACGGAATAGCTTATAATGATAAGAGGTGTTATATTTGCTGATTTCAGATATGGTAAATGCCTGTATAGTAGAAGCTCTGTGACAAAAACTAAAGTTTGGTTTCCATATAGCCATACAACAGCCTTTTTTACAACACTGTTGTAACAATCTTTTACAACACTGTTGCAACAATCTTTTACAGCAAAGCTGCAACAATCTTTTACAGCAAAGCTGCAACAATTGTGGAGATAGAAATCAAAGGTATATCTCTACAACAATTGTATGCTAACCACAGAATCCATACAACAGCCAGAAACCAGGCTTATAATCTAAACAATAAAAATGTAGTGCTTTTGCATTGTGTGGGCTTTGGAATTTTTGCAAATTTTAATTTTCAAATAATTATTTCAAATTTTTAAATAATTATTTTAAAGCAACATTTAGTTTTATAGCCCATACACTTCAATCATTTAATAATAGATCAGATCTAGAGTAGATCTATATAATTATAATAACAATTATATATGTCACTCACCATTCCAAGCTCCTTTCCATCTTCTTCCGGCCAGCAGGCAGAATCAGCCAAATGCATCTTTGACAGTGGGACTGTGGCACCAGAGATAGAGCCAGAGAGTTCTTGGACCTTCTCTTTGATTAGTTTGACTTGACTTACGGTCCAAATTGTCCCTGATTTAGGGTAGCTGGTGACAAAGGTGTCATCAGACTGGAGAGGAAAATCCAGCACCTTCTTGTACTCCTCTTCTCTCAGCACTGGGTCAGGAAACAGTATACCATTCACGAAATGATCTCCATCCAACAATACGTCGCTGTTTGGGGTAGACATTAAAAAAAACAAGCTCTGTAAACGACCAACCGGAAACATAGATCTACACTTGGCAACATTGTAGCTTGAAACTTCGTGGTTAGATCTACTTTGATCTTTGTGGCTTCGAGTTGACCACTAGTAGCCACAAAGTTGCATGGAACAATGTTGCCCTTTTTATGATAGCTTTTAGCAAGATCATCTATAATAAAATCTATGATTATAGGAACGACCTGGGGTTTCGCCCCCAGGTCATAAAAATTATAAGGTAGAGAATTCTCTCATACCCATTTTAAATGAAATACCATGTACTATCGTCAAGTTCAGAGAGATCCATTTATATTAAAATTAAAAAAATAAATAATTATAATAGTAACTATAATAATATGACCTATGCTAGATTATTGTTCATTTTAAAGCGCTTAAATGCCAAAATCTAATCCACTCCCGTCTATTTTCTTATGATAAACGGCGTCAAATTTTGCTGTCTGCTCTGGGCTCAGATGATTCTTCCAATCTCCAACGACACCTTTACGCATAAAAGTACGATCCTTGTTAAATATTTTGGTGTAGCGGGAGGTGTCCAAGTTGAGGAGAGGGTTGGCCTTCATCCTATCAAAAGTGCATTCCTCAGCAATTGCATTAATAGTGGGCTCGTCAAGGTCGTGACCCATAAACTGAGATATGGTCCTTATTGACTTGTGGAGGTCTTTTTTCATCTCTTCAAATCTGACAATGAGAATATTGCTAGCATCTGTAATGAAGAGAAAAATAACATTACATAGAAAATCAATGATTTGTTATTATTGTTACTAATTGCTTGTTGTTGTTATTATTATTATTATTATTATTATTATTATTATTATTATTATTGTTATTATTATTATTATGCATGTCAAAGCAATAAGAAAAGCATCCTATATTTAATCTATCAAGTTTACTTGTTTGTGTGCGTGAATTTTTTATTAACTCCATAATAACAAACCTCTATGCTCCCACCATTGCAAAACGT